CCCCAAAACCCCAAAACCCCAAAACCCCGTATAATCTGAAATTAAAAACATTAATTGACAAGAAGTGATTAATTAGAAGTATGAAAATTTATAATCATTTCTTATTATCTTTCTTAAGCTAGTGTTTCAAATCTCTTTTAGAAGATCTTGTATTCAATTATTATTACTGAAGTTAATAAATTGGCTGTTTTTAATTCACAATTTGAACTGGTAAATTTTTACTTTCTTAAATAAGGGGGACGTCTAAAGTGTTTTAAGAGGTGCATTATTTGTTAGATAACTAGGTCTATTACTTAATTATGCCTAGTCCATCATTTTTTTCCTCCTCTACTATTTATTTTTAGGTTGGAGTTTATGAAAGTAGACTTGGAGATTATTTTGAGAGTTTACCTTCTTTATCATTCTTTTATTCCTCATTGCTTTTAATTTTAGAATTATTAAGAGACTAAGCTTTTCTCTCAGTAGAGCAATCTTCTTCCTCTTCCTCAATAAAGTTTGAAAATTTCTTGAAGTCAAAGAAGCTGTGTCTGATTCCTTTTTCATCTTGTTTGTGTATCAGGAAGTCCTTAGGTCCTAGTTAATTTCTCTACATTTTCTATTTTTGATACTCACTCATCAATTATGTCAGACCACTATTGAACTATTTAATATCCTCAGGAAATAATTCACCATTACCGAATATCTCTTGCAGAAGTTTCTTTTGGTCTTCTTTTCTGATAAATCTACCCTTTATCCTGAGTCTCTTATCAGCTACTTACTTTCTGCAATCATAAGATACCTTCTTTTTCCAAATTCTATTCTACTTTTTCTCCTTGAACTTCTTTATCTTAATGTATCTTTCTTGAAGTGTTAATCTGCCAATCTTCCTAGTCATGCTACCCTCAACTCTATCACAGAAGAATAGCATAAAATTATCCTACTACTCTTGTCTGTACTTAGCAACATTATTTAAAATCTAGGCTTTCTCGATTTTAATAGCTTCTAGCTCTTTGAGCTTTTTTTACTCATCATCTAATAATCTTCTGAGACTTTCCTAATGACATTGCTAACAGAATTGATGTGATCCTGACGATTATCTTTAACCTCCATGGCTTGAGTCTAGATTGCTTTGTTCTTATTTTACATTGTTTAAGCCATGTTTGTGCATTTGATTTCCTATCATATGACCAAAGCTTATTTAATCGACACTTTCTTGTTTTGAGAAGGTCAAGTCAAACTAGGAATTTGAGCTTCTTTACTTTTTATTTTGCAACTGACCATTTACTCTCAAGAAATGATGATGATCTTCATTGAAGTGAAAATTACTTTAGGTGTATTCAGATGGACTAAGAGGATTATTCATTAGTTAATGGAAAGATTAGAACTGCGGGGAATAGTCAAACTTACTGAACGACCCATTATTTTTGTTAAAAGTTTCATTCATATCTAAATGGCTTCCATGAGAATGCTGATTAGTGTTTTCTTTGAAATCCAAATCTAAATTAGGAATAGGTCTCTCATATTTCAATCTCTAAGTGAAAGTTCACTTCTCGATTCTTGGCTCACTATCTTGTCTCTTGAAAATCTGTTGGTTATGCTTTATCTATTCTCTAGATTTAGTCACATGCTCGAACAGATCCTTAGAGTACAAATTATTTTGAACTTCTAGCTAAGAGTTTAGGCCAATTTTATCTTTGCCATTAGGTGTAAATAAGATTTGCTAGATATTTTTTTAGTCTTATTCATCTACCTCTGAGAGTCCTAACTACGATTGAGATTACTTGATATTTTACTGAATTGGAGAGATTTAAGTTGCATTTTGCTTGTCTGAGAAAATTGAATCTCTATGCATGTTATTCGGATTTGAACTATTGGTTTAAGTGCTTAGATTCATTGAACCAACATTATTACTGAAGGCCATTTGGCTATTAGTGTTAGATTTCTCTTGCTTCTCATGCAACATCTATTCTTATTAGCCATGACACATAATAAGGTCGATCCTTGCAACACTCTTAGGTGAGGGCTAGGTAGGCTGATTCATCTGAGAACCAAAATAAGGTGAGTTATGTTGTTTTGATTACCCTTAGTTAAATATACTCAAGTTATTTGATGTAGAATTTCTATATTCTTTTTGCCTTGAGGTTTGATTTTAAATCTCATTGAAGCTAGGTAGCTTTTAGTTGTTGTACTGACTCATATTAAAGTTTTCTTAAAGGTCATGATTACTATTAGCTGAGAATTAATTTTGATCGATTTAGAGGTATTGATTCGCAGCATTATCCCTAATAAATACATCTCTTTAATTATTATTGAAATTTTATGGAATTCCAAAGCTCTGACTTTTATCATCACTTGGTTGCTTAATCATGGTAGAATTTAGGAGGATTGAATTTGAATTTGTTGTGGGATAGTTACTACCGCTTGAAAAATTTTAGAATGATAGAGCTTGATTAATCCCTGCATGAGGATTGGGAGAACAAAGCTAAAGCATATTGCCCATTTCATCCATTTGGTGCATGTCATAAACTCCCATGCCCTATAGAATTTAGGTAAATGTGCTATTTTTCAATTGATGTATTCTATTAATAAAATTATTTCATACTTACATCAGATCCATAGTTGTTATTAGCACCACTACCAGGATAGGCTTGATTTTGCTAGTCAAGAAAGTTGTTTGTCCCTGGCATATTAAAATATGTTGGTTACTGCTGTTAAGGTTTGGTCAGGCATTAATTCACAGATTGGCCTGAAGAGGAAATGCAAGAATTAAAGTTGCTATTTTATGGCGGCTATTTAAGACCCTAAATATTTCCTTGCATTATAGAATGTGAGTTTTTGCTTGAATTAGGGATTGAGTTCCTATAATCACTAAGAATGCCCATCTGTGAAGAGGGGTTTCTTGCTAGGTTACTTTCCAGATAAGAACTTTCTGATACGTCCTATAGAAATGGTTTTAAAGAACTGTATCAAAATTATTATTAACTCTTGGTGTAAATTTAAGAAAATTCAAATTCAGATTTGCAGTCCATTCAAATCAATGAACAGTGATAATCAGACTATCAAATAAGATTTTTTCTATCAATAATCTGCCCCCATAATAAGCATAGGGTATTAGAAATCTCACTTACGTGCTAGTTAATCTGACTATGTGCCATTATTGTCTATTTTATTAATATGAAATAATATCCAAGTATTAAATTAAGTATAAACCATCGATTTAAACTTGAATTATTAATCATTTATTTCTATAATTAACTAAAATGAATGGAAGCAATAACACGTTCAGGTAACACATTTCTTTTTGGATGATCAATAATCGATCTTTATAGTTTACTCGAGAAATTCGAAGATTTTCAATACAACATAAAAAGATAAATCTCTAAGCTATTTCATAGTAATGAAGAGGAGTCAGAAGAGTCAAGTCCAAGGCAAAAAAGATGAAATTAAAACAGAAGAATTTCAAAGCAAAGTAGAGATCAATAAGAAATTTTCAATTAATTCTTTTCTCGGAAAAATACTCCTTAAAAAATAGAATATAAAGACAAAACTCTAGATAATAGGACACTTACATAAGTTAATTCTAACTCCAATCTTAACAGCAAGAGTCTAGCAAGGCTTGAGGAAAAATATCTGAATTCTAACTATATGGATCACATTGAGTCAAAGCTAAGACTTGATATGAACAATATAACCATTGATAAAAATGCCAGAACCTAAAAAAATTCAGAGCAAAAGCCAACGTATAAAACCAATTTTTAATCTTTCATGTTCTCTCCAAATAGTAAGGAGAAATAGTGTGAAACCTCACGATTCCCACAATTTAAATATAATATGACTAATCAGAATCAACGTTAGCTTCCGGCAAGTAAACCACCAGTTCCATCTTAGCTACTCACGAGTCGTCAAGGTAATTCTAAGAAAGATCAAAATCAGAGATTAAAAAGTCAAAGAAATGATACTTTAGAATAAGATATAAAGGTAAAGCCCAAACGTTAGAGAAATTTAACTTAAAGAGAAAAGCAAATTTAAAGATATGATTTGGTTTTGGCTAATGACGAAGAAGATGATGACGATTGCAATATTTCTTGCAAGTCAAAAGAGGAATGTCCTATCAACTAAAATGAACAAAGAAAATTAGAAATTTAACGGCAAGTTTTCAAAATTTTTGATACCAACGATAGTGAATTTAGTAGACAGTACATATTCAGTAACCCTTCAGTTAGAGAGTCATTTTCTTAAAAGGCTAGAAATCTGTCTAGAAATCCAAATACAAGCATTGTCCAAACAAAAAGGGTCCCATCTATGAAGAACCTAAGACTATTTTCACAACAAGATGATGATTCTCTCAAGCCAGTTGATACCTAAGATATGCTTGATGAAGAAGACGAAGAGGAATATGAAGAATTACTCAAAACATAGAAGGTAGAATAGAAATAAAAATAATCTTTTGGAATTTCTGAGCTATCTGATCTAAACCTCCAAAAAGAAACGTAACCCTCACTCAGCAATCAAACAAATCATGAAACTCCAAAAATGAATGCAAGGCAAAAATAGCTTTAATAGGTGTCTAACTACCTCAATCAATATCAAAATAATCTGTTCAGTAAGCAAAATAAGCGCAAGAGTACTCATGTGGGTTCTAAAATAAACATTCTAAATAGTTAGATAAACAATAGGATTTTGAAGATGATTATATAAAATAAGAATCTGAGAGAGCCTTCCACTCTATAGTAAGTTAAGTAATTGATACTTAATGGCATATCAAATGAAGTGTAAGGATAGATGCAATTGCTTTATATTTATTAGAAGGAAAAGACTTTGGTCACATTTAGCTTTGACAACTGAGTTGAAGAATGAATTCAAGAAAAAAGATTTCAAGCCAAACTTAGTTGACTATAACAAAAGCAAAGACCTATACATCATTAAAAAGGATGTCTAAAGAACCTTTCAAGAAGAAAAATTATTCCAAATTCCTCAAGATGATAAGAGATACGACTATACTAGAAATCCACTTTTTAATGTTTTGGTGGCATATTCAATTTCTGATTCTAAATTAGGCTACACTCAAGGTAATACTTATGCTTTCTTTAATAATTTAGGAATGAACTACATAGCAGGGTTATTTTACATGATCTTCTAGGATGAATATGAAAGCTTTATTGCTCTAAATTACATCATGAATGTTCTTAATTGGAGATGTGTATATCTGGATAATACTCCAAAACTTTAAAATTTAATGCTTATTGTTTAAAAGAAAGTATACAATGAGTGCCCTAAAATCTATGCTCATATGCAAGAATATAATGTAAAGAATAGATTTCCTAAAATCATTTAGATTTTACCGTCCACTGTTTATTCATAGATATTCATAACACTTGGGTTATATAATTGCAAAATTGAACATGCCATGTCTATTGTAGACTTATTCTTGCTTGAGGGTGAAAAAGCCTTATTTAAATTGATTATTAACTGCATGAAACTCAAACAAAAGAAGATTTTATCGTTTAACTAAGACTTTGTAATCTTAATTTCATAATTTAACTCTTAGGAGCTGACTATTTATTTGCAGAGAGATCTCTTATCTGAATGTCTTACTGAATATGGCTTCGCTTAAATCTTTGAGGACTGCGAATGAGTCCTATACTTATCTAAACTCCTAGCAAATGGAAAAATTCAAATTAATTTAAATTTCCTTCACTCAGCCTTAAAAAAGCTTTAGAGACTACTCTCTCGTGGATTGAAGTTATATAATAGAAGAAGATTTTCAATTTAAACATATAAAGATAATTAACTTAATTTTTAATCAACTATATCCCCATTAACCCCTTTAAACACATTAACCACTCATAACTATGGGTATTATAATCATTATTAATTAGTTATTGTTCATTTTGCCCCTGAAGTCTTCTTGATGAATTAGATGACATCTTCATCATTCAGTTCGTGCTTTAAACCGCATTTCTAAGGAGAGAACTTAACACTTCTTCCCCATATATAAGCATAAGCAAGTTCTTTCAACAAACCCTAAATAGTAAATAAGAAAAATAGGAAATTTTACTCTGTGAATTTGCATGATAGCTGACTTGACTGTAACTCCATCTCTTCCAGCAGTAAGAATTAAAGGATCTGAGAAGTCTGGTTAGAATCCCTTCTTTTTAGTGTATATTCTGACTAGTCCGAGCATATCCCAGATTCTTTCAAGGAGCACATCGATACCAAGGTTCATGTGTACGGAGATTGCCACATTGTGATTTACACTCATGAGCTTGTCTACATCTTCAATTGAGATGGTATCAATTTTATTGTAAACGTAGAGACACTTGACATACTTACGAGTTCCCTCAATGACATCAATTAAATCATCCACATCATAGTCGTCTCTAAAGTTCACATGTGCATTGTGCATTTTGTACTCAGCCATGATATTTCTGACCATCTTCTCATCAATTTTAGTGAGCTTTACTGAAGCATTGAAAATGATACCTCCAGTCTTCATTACTTTAATGTTAATGTTTGGCTTAACCTTGTTTAGTCTTATTCCTACACTCTCAAGCTCTCTAGTAATCTTTGCTTTTTATTCCTCTCCCTTTTGAGCATCTAGAACCATCATAATGAGATCGCTACTTTTTCCGACTGCGATAACCTATCTACCTCTACCCTTTCCACTAGCAGCTCCTTCAATAATACCTGGTAGATCCAACAATTAGATATTAGCATTGTTAATTTGTAAGACACCTGGGATACATGTTAAGGTTGTGAATTCATAGGCAGCACACTCACTTTCAGTCTCTGTCAAGTGAGAGAGGATAGATGATTTTCCTACAGAAGGGAAACCGATCATAGCAATACGAGCATCACCATGCTTTTCCACATCGAATCCCTCACCTTTACCACCAGCTGCAGCTGCCTTTCTATCACCGTCTATGATTTGAGATCTGTATTTGGCGAGTTTAGCTTTGAGTAGACCAAGATGGTACTCAGTAGCCTTGTTCTTTTGAGTACGAGCCATCTCCTCCTCTATTTCCTTTATCTTTTCAGCCAATCCCATTTCTTTACTATAATTACTACCTAATATTTATTATAAATACTATAATTAAGCGATAATTATAATACGAATTAAAGCAAGGCCAGCAAATTATAAAAGAAAATAGCTTAAATTTTATCAATGAGCATCAATCAAAATCAAAACTCTTCTAGAAGTTCTTCTCCTAACAGAATAAACCTCATCTTGAACTAGTCTATTTCACCAACAAGATTATCTTTGCCCATTAAGAATCAAAGCTAGAACTTTTAAAGCTTGATGAGTAGAAATCTGAGAAATTCAACATCTTCGTTCTCAAACAGATCAAATTCAAGGCAAAACAGCACTAATATCAATAACACATCGCCTCTTAGATTTGGATTAACCACTTAGCCAACGACTGTTCAAGAGTCAATTGAAGAGCAATGGAGTATCAGAGATAGTCTGCTTAAGAAAACACTCAAAGACATCAATAAATTTAGTAACTTAAACTTCTAATTAGCAATTATAGTCAAGATGAGCAAAACTTTGCATAAATATTGTAACTAAGAAGATGAAGGCTCCTACAGCCTTAAAATGATTGTGATGTAGATAAAGTCTAAGTGTGAAAAGCTTATTAAAGTAGAGAATCTATTGCATATCAAATCTTAAAGACTCTCCAACTTCATTAGCAAAAGTAAGTTAAATTTTAATTTCATTATTAAAACCATCACTTATAGTGGGATTAGAAGGCTATGAAGACTATATTGATGAAAATGCAGAGAGATATCTATCGTCGATAGAGTCAGTAGATGAAAACGAAAAATTGATGCAAATATAGGAGCTTGAAAATGAAAATATGAGAATAAAGACAGAACTAGAACAATAGTTGGCCAAATTGAGGGAAAAAGAGAATTACTTAAAGGAATAAGAGGAACGAGTGATGCATTAATAGAGAAAATATAAAGAAAGTCATAGGTAAAAATAAGAGTAGCTGAGATAGCTTGAGGGTTAATTCAATCTTAATCAGAAGATCTATAATGAATACTTGAGTTAGATAAGATCCAAGGAGTAGGAAATGAATGACAGGGATGCAAAACTGAAGCAATTTGAATAAGATTTTTCAAAGAGACTAATTATCATCAAGGAAAAGGAAAAATAATTGAATTCATAGTAAGTAGAGCTAGCCTCTAGATAAAATTCATCTGAGTTCGAAAGGCAAAGGTAGCTCTTGGATGATAAGCTGTCAAGACTCACCAAGAAAGATATGGAGATTACAGAAAAGCTGTAGTTGATGAGTGACATCTAGAAATAGCTTTAAGCTAAAGAGTCAAAGATACTTGAACAAGAAACAAATTTGAAAGAGAAAAGGAACTAGTTATTTAAATCATACGATTTGCTGACTGAGAAAATATATGACTTCGAAAGGGAATGTGATAAGCTCAAGAATAAAAAGAGATAATTCCTAATTTCATAACAGAAGTTCAATGCTTATATTCAAGAGAAGTTTGAGGAGCTTGAGAAAAGACAAATATCCTTTATCGAGGGTAAATCTGCTTCAAAGAGAAAATCAACTGCTAAGTTTAATGATAGTACGATTCTAATTGAAAATGATAAGAGATAGCAATTAGTTTAAATATTTCAAAGTATGCTATAGCAGGTTAGCAAAGCAACTGAAAAATTTACTGAAGTCAATAACACATTGTTTTAGAATAATAAAAGCTATAGAAAGAAGATTCATAACAATTAAGAAGACATCAAAATAATTAATGAAGCGATTGACTTTGCATTCAGTGTTGGCAATAATAAGTTCTAGCTGCAGTAATTCAATATGAGTCCATCTCTGGACATGAAAGAGGATAACTAAAAGATAAAAGGCTTGAGTGAAACAGAATAATGGCTGAAATTAGAAGCAATAGATAACTCAATGATTTATTAAGACTCTCAATCAAGATTAAATCAACTTAATAATGTTGCTAAGTTTAGTATACAAGATATCAGCCGCCAAAGTGAAGAAGATAATACTATAGATGAGTTAAACAAAGCTATTATCATTAAGGCTTAGGATTTGGAGTATGGTAATTCCATTATGTAAGACAAAAGCTCACATTACTAGCATGATTCTAACTTCGATGATGCTGGCTATTAAGGAGTCAGGATCATAAATCAATCTAATATTCTGGATGGACTCAGTAGCTACTAAGTTGAAGATTCGTAGCAAACATTTTTGAAGTAAGGATTAGGAAGCTAGCAAGTACTTGGATATAACTAAACAGAAAAGAGAGCTGGGGCGAATGGAATAATATATGACAACTCATTTGGCTCTTAGTTAGGTCCACAGAATATGAATAATATAAATAACAGCTAGGCATTTAGCCTCTTTGGAGGAGCTAATGGTGCAAATATTATGAATGGAGACAGTATTGATGATTTCAGCAAATCTAGCAAGAAGAGCAAATTTTCTAAGTTTTTAAATGAGTGACTATGCCTCTTCAACCTATTTATGAAAGAATATAAAGTAAAATGCTTTATATAAAAATCTACACTTTAAATCAGTACAGTGGGGTTTTGGGGTTTTGGGGTTTTGGGG